TCATTATATTGTATACCTAAAATGTACCAATAAAATTAATTTTTTTAAAAAGACGAAGTTTGGGGGTGGTATCTAGTCTCCTCTCCTGTGATAAAGGTATTGACAACAATTGAGTTCTCTTTAGAGGATGTGTCTTTGTCCAGAGAAGGGGAGTTTGGAGAAAGTCTCTCCCTACATTTGCTGTTTTTCAGGTGCCTTCAACTCAAAATCATCAATATACCAAAGTGGCCTACTATGAAGTAACGTATAACTAACTCCTTGGAAACCAAATTCTTTGAACATTGGTATATTCCATGGACAGTATCCCATATCAAATTTAGCTGGGGCGGAGACAGGGGGGACATGTATAATGGATCCAAATACACTGCAAAATCCTGAAAACTGAAATCACATATGATTATGGCTCAGACTTTTGGCTGAACCTGAGAGAATTACCTGCTGAAAGAAAACAAAGAAAATAACTAACATGCGCTGGCATATTGTAACAGAATTTAGTCTCCTAACAATGAAAACATTCAGTATATAATGCAAAATTACTGAACAATTTTTTTTTCTGAACAATTGAAATAAAACAAAAACAGAAAAGTTGTAGCAACTCACAGGAAATAAAACAACATTAGAATTATCAGGCCAAGATTCAATAGCTTGGTAGTAGAATAGACAAAAGAAAGCAGAACCTTAACCTGAAGATCAATAAAAATTATCCAATGTGAGGCAAAGAAAGGAAACATTAAAAAATAATTCAACCAAACTTCAAGGAACTATAGGACAAGCTGGGTGTGGTGGCACATGCCTGTAAATCCATCACTCAGGAAGCTGAGGCAGGAGGTTTGCCTCAAGTTCAAGGCAATCCCAGGCTATGTAGTGAGTTCAAAGCCAGTGTGGAATATAACAAGACCCTGTCTCAAAAAACAAAACAATCCAGGCATGGTGGTACACACCTGTAATCCTGGTGCTTTGTGAGGTTGAAGCAGGAGGATCTCAAGTTTGAGACCTGCCTAGGCAATCTAGAGCCTTAGCAAGAATCTCAAAACAAAAAATAAAAATGACTAAGGATGTAGCTTGCTGTGAAGGCCCTGGATTCAATCCCCAACTCCACCCAAAATATCCAACAAGCAAAAGCAATTTAATGGAGAAATATATGCTCTTTTCACCAAATGATACATAAACATTTGGACTTCCAAATATATAAAATAGAAGAACCTTTACTTCCACTTCATACTTTATCCAAAACAACTCAAAATGAAGCACAGACTTAAATGTAAATCAAACCAAAAAAGTATTAGACTCTTTGCTTTTTGCAGTGCTAGTGATCATACTCTTGCCTGCTCCCCGCAAGTGTGTTACCACTGAGTTACACTTTGCAGCCTTCCTCCTCTAAACCTTTATAAGAAACATAGCAGGAAATCTTTGTGAACTTGGGTTAGAAAAATTGTTCTTAGATATAACACAAAAAGCACAAGGCTTTAGAGAAAAATTTATAAATTCGACTTTATCAAAATTAGAAAATATTTTCTCCACAAAAGACACTACTAAGAGAATAAAAATTTAAGCTATAGGGCTCTGGTTTGGGAAATAGATAATATCTTTATAATTTTTGAAAATCACCTATCTTGATAATTACCTATTATCATTTATCTTGAAAGTATTTGAAAATCACCTGACAAAGGACTTGTACTATACATAGAATACATAAAGAATTCTCAAAACTCAAAAATAGGGAAACAGAAAAGCCAATAAAGGGGCTAATAGTGTGGCTCATGCTTGTTAAGCATGAGCCCCTGGATTTACTCTGTGGTACCCAAAGACAAAAACCAATTAGAAAAAAAAATAGACAAAGGATTTGAACAGACTTCTACCCAAAAAGATACAGGGTGCGATCAAAACAAATGGAGAAATGTTTACATTTTTAAAAAATTATTACAATGAAAGTCACATCGCCGGCCGGGGATTTAGCTCAGTGGTTCCGCTGCCTGCTGTGCAAGTGCAAGGACCCGAGTTCGATCCCCCGTACCAAAAAAAAAAAAAAGGAAAAAAGAAAGTCACATTGCCATTAATTCCCCACTAAGTGCCCCTCCCCCACTTGCCCACTTCAGACTGGACTGTTGCCTCTTTGAAGAAGGGAGGGGGCGTCCTGGAGGCACTGATATTAGAAAGGGAGGGATCTGGGCCCCTTATTAACATACCCAACCTTATGGCTAGCTTTTCAGAAGAGTCCCTGGTTTCAGCCCTGCTGCTCCCTGACAGGCTTGGAGCTGCAATATAAGCAGCTCTCTCCAGCCACTTCTCAGGTTTAGTCTAGGAGGGCTCCCTCCTGTGTACTAACCCTCTGGGCTGCAGCACAGGCCCTGTTGGAAAGACTTCCTGCAGGTGTTCCTGTAAAAAGGAAGGGAGGGAGGGAGGAAGGGAGGGAGAGAAAGACAGGATGAAAGAAAAAAAAAGAGAAAAGAGAGAGAGAAAAGAAAGAAAGAAAGAAAGAAAGAAAGAAAGAAAGAAAGAAAGAAAGAAAGAAAGAAAAATTGAAACTTTATTTACACAAAATCTTATACATGAATGTTTAGGGCATTATTATTCATAATGCCCAAAACCTACAATCAACCCAAAACAACTCAGATATTTTTCATTGAGTGAATGGATAAACAAACTGTAGTGCAGCTATACAAGGAATGTTTTGTGATTCTATTGGTGACATCCTGGAAAAGGCAAAATTATAGGGACCAAGAGTATTTCAGTAGCTGTTGGGCTAGGTGTGGTGTTTTGATTATGAAGGAACAACACTAGGGCAGTTTTTGGAGTGATAGAAATATTCCATATTCTGATGGCAGTGGCAGCAACACAAATCTATGCAGTTGTTAAAAATAACAGCTGGTTGTAGTGACACACACCTGTAATCCCAGCCCAAGGGAGGCTGAGGCAGGAGGATTCCATGAGTTTGAGGCCCGCCTGGACTACATAGTGAGCTCAAGGTCAACCTGAACTACACAGCGAGACCCTGTCTCAAAAAATAAAACAAAACAGGGGCTGGGGATTTAGCTCAGTTCCGCCACCTGCTGCGCAAGCGCAAGGACCCAAGTTCAATCCCCAGTACCAAAAAAATTTGAAAAAAAAAAAAAAAACCAGAACAAAAAACAAAAAACTAATAGTACTGGACATTTTTTAAAAAAGGTATATAGGTCAGGTGTGATGATGTGTGATTGCAATCTCAGCATTCAGCAAGTTCAAGGCCAGACTGGGCTACATCAAAAGACCTTGTCTTAAAACACAATTAAATCAAAAGATAAAAAAGGTGAGTTTTGGTTTATTTGTATATATAATCTTGTCCTACATATGAAATAGCTTTAGCAGCAATAAACTATAAATTCACCTTTGCTTTTGCAATAGATTGTTTTGCTGGAATTTTGTGAGCTGGTATTCCACAAAACAAGTACTATGCTATAATTTGGGGGCATGCTAGGGGTTGAAGCTAGGGCTTCACACATGCTGAGCTTGTGGTCTATCTCTGAGCTACATACTGAGCCCCTATCTATAGATTTTATAACAGAGAAGTACCAGGTGTTCAGGAAGTGTGTCTCTAACAAGGTACTGACATTCTTCCCCATTGAGTTCTGAGCTGAGAAGGCCACTGATTTAGTTAAGCAGTTGCCACAGATCTGGTAGCCAGTGTGTCATTTTTCTAGCTCCCCAATACTACTCTAAGCCATCATTCCCTCACTGACTAAGAGAACAAATTGTCCTTTCCGTTTTTTTCGCCTCTCCTTATCCCTGATATCTGCTGGTCCCATCTGCACATTTCTCAGAAGCATTGCTATGTGACTTAGAGTCTACTTACTCCATTTTATTTAGCCACCTACACCCACAGCCACATTCAGGTCCTTTTCCCAAAATACTTTACCTCTGAAATAATAAATCCCACAGTATGGTATTTATCCAACACCTCCTTTCATTTCAACTGTGTCAATTCTTTATTTCTGCCATCAAAATTATTTGAATTCTTCAGGATTTCTTACTTTATTTGACCCTTGCCTTATTGTATCTGTTCCTTTAATCTTTTTCTACTTAGCTTTGACTGTCATTGCCATACTTTTCCCATTACCATCTATTGCTGTGTCCTCTTATACTTCTGCTCTGTTCATCCAGAGTTATCCTAACTTGGCCTTTCCTCATTAACTCACTTGATTAATCTGCTAAGGCTTTCTGGAGAAATGAAACAACCACACAATTTAGTGAATTAAAGGAAATTTATTTTGCAATTAAATTGCAAATTTATGGTTCCCTTTTTCTCTTTCCTTCCTCCTTTCTAGCTTTTTCCTTCCTTCCTCCCTTCTTTCCTTCCTTCCTTCCTTCCTTTCTTTCTTGGTACTGGGGATTGAATCCAGGGTCTTTGTACAGAGCTACATCCTAGCCCTTTTTCTTTTTAATTTTGAGAAAGGATTTCGCCAAGTTGCTGTTGCCCAGGTTGGGCTCGAATTTGTGACCCTCTTCGCCTCAGCTGCCCAGAGTGCTGGGATTATAAACATATATGACCACACCTGGCTTGCAACTTTATGGTCTTTGACTTTAAATATTTACCCCATGGTGATCTTTAGTATCTTTGGTCATCTCTATTTCTCACAAAGATCATTTCCAGCCTTCACAAATCTCCTCTTGTCACCAACGCTAAGCCACTCCCTCACATATATACCTCAAAGAGAAAACTGCAGTTATCAGGCAGTGATATTTTCAGCCTCTTGCACTACATCTGTAGTAGTGTTCAGAATCCTGAAAAGTTCCTGTGATAGCCACCATGGTGTCACATTGGTGATTAGGTTATGTAATCACAATGTGTGATTTTGCTTGAGCCCGGTGTTCTGGAAAACCGTAGTGCTTGAAGAAATGCCCCCAACTTTTTGTTTTTCAAAAGTAACAGTACCCTTTTGTGTTCTGAGAACTGATTTACCACAAAAAGGCCCCCCCTCCATGTATAACTTACACAAGACTTTTCTTTCTTGTGATTTCCACAGGTCAGAATGACTCCATTGTTTATCTACAACAAGCCCCTTTGACATGAGCCTGCTAACAAGAACACAGATCCTCCAACTTCCATTCTTGGCCTCCTGGATTTGTTGAGGTTAAAGTTTATATCCTAGATACACATAGGGAAAAACATTTTCTGCTAGCTGAGACTTCCCTTCATTGCAAAACAATTCCAATTGTAAATTTTCCCATCTGCAGCTAATTTACTGCTCCATATAAAAAGTCTCCGGGGTAACCACCTTCTGAGACACTCTGGCCCTTGGATTTGAGGTCCTTTTGCTATTGCAATGACTTGAATAAAGTCAGTATCCATAATTGCTCACTTTTTGTCTTTGACAGTGGGATATCAAGAATCAGATAGGACAGAATCTGAGCCTGGGACCCCTGGTTTCCCTGCCCAGGGACTGAGGTCTCTTGGAGCCCTGTGCTTCGGTCCTGAGTCGCAATCCAGGAATCCAACAGTGAGCCGATTTCTGGTCTCCACTCATATGTTCCCATCCTATATAGCAGAGTGAGGATTTGATTTCTATTATTTTTGAGTTCTGGCCTGATTTCTGGTGTTATAGTCTACCCTTCAGAAAAGATCTAATACCAGTATTCCTCAAACTCTTTAATGAATTTGAAAGGGAAGTAGTACTCCCAAAGTCATTCCTGGAAGCAAGCATTAACCTTTTTTTTTTTTGAGGCAGGGTCTCCCTTTGTAGTTCAGGCTGGCTCTGAACTCACTATGTAGCCCAGGCTGGCCTCGAACTCATGGTGATCCTCCTGCCTCGGCCTCCTCAGTGCTGGAATCACAGATATGTGCCACCACACCCAGCTAACCTGACTCTTTTTAGCCAGAATCTCATTGTATAGTTTAGACTAGACTTGAACTCACTATGTAGCTCAGGCTGGCCTTGAACTCAAAGCAGTCCTCCTGCCTCAGCCTTCTGAGTACTAGGATTACAAGTGCGTACCACCATGCCTGGCAATTAACCTGATTCCCAAACCAGAAAAGGTCCCAACCTAAAAAAACAGCTATAGGCCAATCTCTTTAATGAGCATAGACACAAGAATCCTCAATAAGATATCAGGAAACAGAATGCAGCAAATAATCAAAGAAATCATACATCATAACCAAATAAATAGGATTCATCCCAGGGATGCAAGGGTGGCTCAACATATGCAAATAAAAAAATGTAATGTACCACATAAGTGAAAGCAAGGAAAAAAAAAATCTCATGATCGTCTCAATCGATGCAGAAAAAGACTTTGACAAAATCCAACGTCAATTCATGATAAAAACCTTGAAGAAAATAGATATAGAATAACCTTATCTCCATCTGCTAAAAGGCATTTATGACAAACCAGTGGCCAACATCACATTAAATGAAGAGAAGCTAAGATCTATCCTTATAAAATCAAGACTAAGACACAGATATCCTATAGGTTCACACCTTTACTTAGAAGGGACCCTGTCCATCTACATACTTTTTGTATAAAATTTTAAAATGTTGAAGAACCACAAGTTCATAATAAAATGCTTATACAGCTAGAAAAACATTTACCCTTTTCAGTGCTTTGGACTAAAATATACTGTGAGAGGAAATTAGAAAGACTATAATTATTCTGGAAATATTCTATATTAAATGTACACGCTCTTTTTGGAA